TTAACCCCTCTAAGGCAGGTATCAAAGAGAAGTAGAGGATTAGACGCAGCAGCTCAGGTAAATCTTACGTATTATTACATAATAATCCGTCTGCTGCATCAGGTTATATTCGGTTTGTTTGCTGGGCCAGGAAGCTATTCTGGCAGCCTCCCTCTGGGATTATTCCACGTATGTCACCCAGCCTCCAACAGAATTGTCAGTAGATCAAATGTAGGCCCTGACATTTATGTGTCCAATCACCAATAAACTATACTGCCTCTCGGACTGCCTCACTGTTTCAAGGATGAGAAATTAACATAGCCAAACTCTAGAAATTAATATTAGCCTTCCAATCTTATTATCATCATTCAGAAAGAAATCAGTAAAAGTTAAGACAATACTTTAAAGATACAATTTACAAATTTCTGTCATTCACAGCGTTGGAACTACTACACCAAAATGTTTCTCTATTCCTGTAACGTCATTAAAATTCAATAGTGTCTCAAATACAGCCAAGGGCACCTAAAAAATATTTATAAAGTTAGGTGACAAAGTTTCAAATTATTCCAGTTAAATTTTTAAAAATATGTTAAAGTGTTTAAGAAAAGCACTAAAAATTTAAAATAATTCATCCTAAAAATAGATAAGCAAATAAAAAGTTAAGTAGGATTAAGTGCATAATTCTATGTATTTTAAGACAGATGAGAAAAGATGAAATCATCCAGTGTAATGATAGATTTACATTAAGTTAAAAAGAATACCCTGGGGCAGTCCCCGTGGACGAGTGGTTAAGTTTGTGCGCTCCACTTCAGCGGCCCAGGGTTTCGCTGGTTCGGATCCTGGGCGCGGACATGGCACCACTCCTCAGGCCATGTTGAGGCGGCGTCCCACGTGCCACAACTAGAAGGACCCACAACTAAAAAATATACAGCTATGTACTGGGGGGATTTGGGGAGAAAAAGCAGGAAAAAAAAAAAAAAGATTGGCAACAGTTGCTAGCTCAGGTGCCAATCTTTAAAAACAAACAAACAAACACCTACTTCTGGAAGGACCCATTAGGATACTTACATACAAAAAAAGAATACCCTAAAATCTTGGGTTTCCAATTAGAAAGGGATGTCTAGTAAATACCTAGAGAAAGAAATGTCAGGCAGTAATACTACACATTTCTAAACATAATATTGACTACTAAATATTCATTGCAGTTTTTACTTACTAAAGAAAATTAAAAGAATTAGATCACTCACAATAGCATTTTGGGAGTTAAAGTGAATAACTCCCCCTTAAAACCTTATTTTGCCATTCTTTCTCAGCATTTTTGTCAGGTAAAAAAATTTTTTGATGTTGCTTTAGATTTTACCTAATTTTCCTATTTTTTCTATGTAAGTATAGCTAGCAGTGAGACGTTTTCCTTATTTGATCAAACATTAGTTTTTTGCATTGAAAATGCGCCTTTCAAAAATATACATATTTAGCTTATTTAAAGAGGTAGGACACATATTCATATTAAATGGGTGATACTAGCATGGGTTTCTTCGGATTTGATTGAATTTGGAGAAACTCATATTTAACTAAAAATCTCCTAGGCAAGCAAATGCTTGCTTTTCCTTAACCAAAATTTTTGTGCCTTTTTTTTTTCTTTTGCGACTTCTTTCAGATGTCTTCCTGAGTTTAAGCCCAGTGCTATCAATCTGATCTAGGCAAATTTCACAGGGCTTCCTGCCTCCAATCTCTTCTGGTTATAATCCATTTTACAGCTGCTGGCATAATGTCTAATTCTATCTTATTTAGGAACCTAGATAAGTTCAGACTCTCCAGTCTAGCATATTCAAATGCTCTATCAATGGGCTCTTCTACCTTAATCCTGCCCCTCATCAGGTGTTACTTACCACTACACTTCCATGCCTGGCTCCACCACCTTCTGCTAAATTAAATTCTTAGACATTCTTGGGATGAAACGAATCTAAGACACCAAGTCACCCTGCCTCTACTTGGGTCACTTTTCTATTTTTCCTTATCAAGCATGCAACCGGTTTTTGCTTAAGTACTATCTGCTTGGTCTGTTTCCCTAAGTTCTCATCATTATATATTTACATATTCGCCTGTGTCCCCACTAGTTTTTAAGTTCCATGAGGTGAGAGTTCTCATCTTCTACCGAAATTTTATTTCAAGAAATCAGCGATCGGGGCTTTGCAATGTCAGTTACTCTAACCATTGAATGACCCGCTTCAAAAGTCTGAAGTGACCTAAGAAATCTAGGTCCACGCTGAATCAGGTAAAGAGTAGCATTTGGAACACATCCGAATATACTCTCTAAAAGTGACTCAAGGCTTACAACTTTCTTCCTCTCTCTGTATGTTATCATCTATCTATATTTTATAACCCTTCGTCTCTTCACTGTTAAAAATGCATGGAAAAGTAGTGAGAGGGAATACTCAGTCGTTTCTAAATATTCCATAATGACCTTGTGTTTCTCATACAAAAGTCTGTACTAAAAAAGATACTCAAGTAAACTTGAATGGAAAGCACGACAACCAAATTTGATGTGGATAAAGTTTTATAATTGAGTGCAAGGTTTATGATTCCAGTATTTAAACAAGTCCTCTATTGAAAGTGGATGCCTTTTAAATCTACTGATATCTTGAACTGACAAATTAACATAAATGTTGCCATAATTACTTGCCCCAAAGTAGTACTTAACTCCATGCAAAATCCTTAGCTTTTGCCATCTGTCCTATGGTTTTAAATACTATCCATATAGTGAATCCCCATATTTTATTTTCTCCCTTAACTCTACATTCATACACCCAACCCTACTCAATGTCTCTGTTGTGATAGTCAACAGCAATCTCAGAACTCAACATATCCAGGACAGGATTCAATTTACACCCTCCAATTGCTGCTCCACTGGTTCTCTGAAATCTCAGCTAAAGGTGTCACCCATCCTTGCTCAAAATCAAAGTGATCTTTGATTTCTTCTTTCTTCCTCACATCTAAGCCCTCACCAAATTCTGTTAGCTTCACCACCAAAAGGCATCCTGAATCTGACTTCTCCCTACGACTCCCACCCCAGTCCAGGCTCTCACCATCTCTCACCCAGACGACTGCAAGAGCCTCTCTTATTTTGCCCCACGCTAGCCTGTTCTCTACCTAACAGAGGAATATAAAGCAGACCATGTCACTCCCTTACTTAAAACCCTCCAGGGGCCGGCCCCATGGCCAAGTGGTTGGGTTCATGCGCTCCGATTCCATGGCCCAGGGTTTCGCTGGTTCGGATCCTGGGAGTGGACATGGCACCACTCATCATGTCACGCCGAGGCGGCGTCCTACATGGCACAACCAGAGGGAGCTACAACTAGAATATACAACTCTGCACTGGGGGACTTTGGGGAGAAGAAGAAGATTGGCAACAGATGTTAACTCAGGTGCCGATGTTAAAAAACAAAAAACCAAAAACCCTCCAATGGCTCACCATCACCACTCAGAACCTTAAGGGATCAGGCCCTTGCCAACCTCTCCGACCTTATCACCTGCCATTCCCTACCAGTCACTAGACTCCAGTCTTACTGGCATATAAACTCATTCCTGCTTTGAGACTTTTAGTTTTATTGTTCTTTTCATCAAAATGCTCTTTTTCTTTGATCTTGGTAATTGTCTTCTCACCATTCAAGGTCATTAATCCACCATGACCCTATAACTTTGTGTTATACCCCAATGTATACTCATCACCCAAAATAATGACTGGCACACGGGTCTTCAACGAATATTTGTTGAATAGCTGAAAAGAGTCTAAATATTCAAGCAAGCTTTCCTGGGCGTGAAAACAGTTATTCCAATTGATCCATACTTTGGAAAGGCAACCCTTCCACCCTGCACCCCGCTAAAAAACCCCACCACCAACCAATCATCTCCCATAAAAATTCTACACCAAACCTCCTTAGAACATACCACATTTTAAAAGTCTATATTCTGTATCAGCTGTTGCAAAAATATGAACAAAGCCTCAGCCTCATAGATAAGTAGTTTTTATGCACACACAAAGCAGTACAGTCCCCCTTGGAAACTTTTCTCACCTTTAAGTCAGCCCTTCGTGTGCATTTTTATCTAATTTCACCTAGGTAAAACTGTATGCGTTGGAGTACAGAATAAGTGAAGGAACTGGTGTGATTTGCCCTGTGTTAACATATCCCAGAGATGGATATGGCTCTGCATCTTCCCTAGGAGAGTTCTGACTCACTTTTGGCCTCTACAAAAAAGCAACTTTATAGCTTTCTTTGCTGCAAAAAGAAGGGATCTCAGACCCAATCTCAATAAAACTTACCCAACTAGTGTTTAGTGCTAGGGAGCAAGGGAAGCTTGGGATGAAAGTGAATGGCAACCAGATCAAAATGTCAAATAAAAAGGTTCATAAACTTTGAATTTTGTCAAAAGGAAGCTTAGAATTCAAGTATCAATTTTTATGGTTCAAGCCATTATAAATCTTATATAAACCTTCTAACACACCCTAAGAACACACATCAGTTTGTAGAGTATGATTATTTGGGCTCAATTTTTGTCTAAGAAATATACATTTAATTATTACTCTTAATAACTATATTTAAACCAAGCTGTTTCTTCTTCAAAATTTTTTTAATGTGTGTAGCCAGAAAAGAAAATACTGATGAATGCTTTCTCTTTGTAAGGTGACTCTATTACAGACAAGACTATAGTAGCAAGATGCACCTTTAGGTAAAATCAAATTTGAATGGTACAAGGACAGTATATCTATATATAGATAAGGTCTCTAGATGACTTTAAAGCAGATGGGAATATTATTGCCTAAAGTAGTATCATAAATGTATATGTGTACGTATGTGCATATATATGCGTATGTGTGTATATATAAATATAGAGAGACTGAATGAAAGAATGGGAATGAATATGAATCAGAGCAACCTTTCCTTGGGTTAATTACTTCACTACTAAGATGTGTCCAAACTTCTAAAGAATTTACTGGTTTATATTAAAATGCACTTCAAAAAGACCATGAAAACACAAATTTAGTTGACAGGCTACAATGGGATTCAGAAAAAGACACAGTGAATATAGACTTAGGTGCAATTTCATGCTGGTGATTTTTCTTTTTTAAAATGTAAGCCACTAATTTTTTAAGAAAATTTTTTAAACCGAAAGTTGCATATTAATATTATACACAAACTGAAACATAAGTGAATTTTAGCACAGTGTATACATGCTTACATAAACTCAAATATTTACACATTTAAAACAATTTCCATTTAACAAATGAAAGTTCTGAAATACATAAAAGCATTAATACTTTCTATAAAACTACGATTAGAACATCAATTTGCTACAAGCGTATAAAACATCAAGTGCTTTCTTGGAGTTTCAAGTTACCTCTTTAAAACAAGATCTTGCTTGCATATATAGTCTTTCTCCAATAATAAGTATGAACTTCTTTTCCCAAGAGGTTTATTTTCCAGGTACATTATAAGCTCAAGAAAACGGACCCGACAATTTTGCAATATAATTATGTCATAACAACTTAATTGCACATAATGCTTTAAAGTAGGTTTGGATGAAGTTCTCAAACACTTTGGTATATGTTCTTCAGGGACTTCTATTAGAAATAACAAGAATTGTAAGTCCCTTCAATCCCCATTTTGCTTTAAAATGGACAAGTCTTTGGTTAAAGTTCTACATTTTGAGCACTGATTCTTAATTAAAATGGTCCCCAAACCAATAAATGGTGTTGATGCATTATTAGTTCACAAGACTTCATTGAACTTGTTTCTGATGCAGTGAGAGGCTACAGATATTCATTTAACATGTCATTGATAGTTTCAATCTTTCACTTATAAGCAGAGAAATCAATAGGCTTAGTCAACATTTCTCTGTTCATTTTCTGTTATAACCTAAACTGTACAGTAATTTGCAGTAACTATAGATACTGTTCCACAGTGTATGTGATTATGATTGGAAAGATGTATAGCAGTAAATTTAGAGTTAGCTTACTCAGAATAAGTCAATATTAGACTGCACAGTAATTCTGCATTAACTATAGCAGGTTGTCAGGTAATGCTTATTTAAAAACCCCAAACCATTCCATTTACAAGAGAAATTGTTGCAAATGTATAAAACAGCAGATATACAAGGAGAACACCAAACATACTTTATTAGCACAAAAAAGCAGCCATAACAAGGCACAGCAAGCAGAAACACACATCAGCAGTCAAAGGGTTAGTGTTGCATACAAATATAGCTTCTCTGTTTTGGAGCCTTGGCGATAGGCGTCAGGATGTAAAATAACTTTCTGTAGCAGCAGGTAAGGAAACTAAGGAGCACTCACCAGTGGTACAGAGCACATTAACAAAAAGACACAAGAATGGATTCGACTACTTTAGTGCAAAACGTCTAGGACAGAACTGTAAATTCAGTTCAATACTAAGAAGCAAACACTAGAACTTGGTATTACTTCCAAAATAGCTCACTCAAGTAGTACTGCATCCTATTCTAAGTGACAAAAAGGTGCTAAGTAAAGTTATTTACAGATACAATGGTCGTACAGTACCTTTTAAATCTGCAATTTAGGTTTCAGAGTTTCCAGTAAAAATTAACTGCACTGAAATTCTATAAATTGTACTTAAGCAATTCAGCTATGAGAGTTTACAACAAAGAGATAAATACTGCCATCCAAATTATCAATTACAGTTTAACAATAATCTCAACATCAGCAACCACTGCAGTTATTATTGTCAGACTTGTCTGGGCCTCCTCTAGTCTCACTTTCTTCACGGTTCACAAACTCATCATGGGCATAGGAAAAGATCCGACCTTAGCGAATCAATGATTAGACTGCACATGTCAACTTCAAAACCCACGCGCAGGAGCACATTGCAGCAGCTATTCCCAATGTGTTTTAAGTTAAAGCACTCATTAAAAAATACCCAAGGCCTCTAAATAAAATTCTACTACCAACTTTATAAGTCTGAAAGTTTAAGAACTACTATTTAGAAAACCTGGTTTACTTAACCGTACCTTTTGCAGAAGAGAAAAGGAGACTGACTATAAACTATATCAACACTTCAGTGAACTGCACTATGCCCTTGTGGCCAGAAAATTGCATTTTTTTTTCTAAAAGGAAGGCAGTCTTTATTTTTTGGACTTCCAAAGCTTGATTTATAGTTAACTACAAACATCACTACTTTTGGAAGGTTATAGAAAAATTCTTAGAAAAAAATAATTTCAAACATTAGTCACACTGTTGAAATACTCATCCAATATTAATAATTTGTTCTTCAGTAAGAAAAAGAATTCTTCATAGCAAATGCCCCAGAGTTGCGTCATTCAATTACTACAGGCATTAAAAACCAAACTGTCAGCTAAATCGGCAAAATCTTTTTGCAGCCTTACTGAACCCTGTAGCTCTATCCTCTGTTGTCTCAATAGGCACCACGTTTATCTGAGTAACAGCAGATCACATCTGACAGATACTAACACTAAGCTTACATACTGTACTGAAAAAACCTAACACTGATACGTGTGCTTGCTATAGGTGTACTGTCGATGCACATAGAAGCAGATCTAGTTAATGCCCTTTGGGGACAGGAGAGTTTACTTTGCCTTGACTGGTTCTCGTTCTAACCAGCGAACTCTAACTTTTTGCTTATAATGATACTCTTTTAAAAAATCCTGCAACATTGATGGCAAAGGGAGCCCATCAATTCCATCATATGTAGTGCATCTGCAGATTACTGCACGGCAGATATACTGCAGGCTAAAAGGGAAAGTCCTGTTTAGTGATATAGTAAGCAATGGTTCAAAAAACATGCAAGAACTGGGATCTTTATAATGTTCCAAAAGTCCTGTTACGGTGGAGGAGTGAAATACACACGGGTCATGAGCATCAAAACTAAAGTTGTGATTCCACTGTTCGATCCGGGCATGCAGGGATCTGTTGTAGCGACGGAAGCTCACAGAGAAGAGGTAGTCCTCTTGCGCAGAGTCCCTGAGCAAAAATGTGCCTTCAGGCTTCCCTTCGAGAAGGGCTTCTGCTTCATAACGGTCCATCACTCCCCAGTAACAGGGATTACCTGTAATCTGAAGCAAATCGGGCACGAGGCAGTGTATGTAATCAATCTGCGTATGCACTTTCCACGCTCCCTGTCTGCTAACATGCGCATGGCTGTCTCCAGACACCTGACGTTGCTTCTGCCTACGCGACTGCAAACACAGGGTGGTTGTGTCCTCTTCTGAGTCACAATTAGCCTGTGGAATTGCAGAACTGTCCCCACTTATTTCAGTCATTCCAGGAGCTAACTTTGGTCCCAGTTTATATAACGGATTAACCTGTGCAGTGGCTTCAAATGTATGTATTTGTGCATTGGGAGGGGGGTCAACCCCTTCTTCAATACTAAGCCGCCTTCTCTCTCTAAGCCTATCTTCTTCATCTTCTGTAGAGACCAAGGATGGATCGAATGTATCAAAAAATGTTGAATGTGGGCTCACGGGGGCTGTATGCTGTTTAATCAAATGCCATTTCTGGGCTAAATCTGAGCCAGCAGGAAAAGGGCATTTCTCAAGCATTAACTCAGAAAGGTGGATTTTCCTTTTATTAGAAAAGAGGGGTTTTGACTGCTTGTTGTAAGTCCTCATGGGAAAACACAAGCCCACAGTATCCTGCAACCTCTGTCTCAGAGAGCGACTTCCCACGGTTCTGCTGGAAATGCTGTCCATATCGTGCATGGAGCTTACGCCGTAGCGCCTCTCTCTCCTTTGAAGTCCGCTTCGAGTTCTACCAAATTTTTTATCGGTATCCAATGAACTTTGTGTCTTTGTAGAACAGGAATGTTTTTTCTTCCCACCCCATGGAGCATGTCGCGAGTAGGAATCTCTTCTGGCAAGTCTTGTTCCTGGGGTGACACAGGAATCATTATCCTTTTCAATGCTTATTTCCACAATCTGAGGAATTTCAGCGGCACAGTTTTGGTTTCTCCTTGAAGAAGTCTTTGAAGGGCTTAGTCCCAGCTGGAAGGCGACACTTTCTCGCAGGGGACTGCTGTGCTGCTGAGGGCCTGAGTCTCCTACGCCCGGGTTTCTCTCCTTGACAGACGAACACCTGCTGGAGTTCATGTCCATATTTTCACTGCGGCTTCCTCCCTCATGACTGAAGAGGTTCTGGCACCTGTATTTGAAGTTATTCCACATTTTCCCCACTTTATCCATTGATTATAAGATCTAAAAACAAAATAGGAAAAGGAGAAAAGTTAATCAAAGTGGCGCGTGAAGAGAGAAAAGGCAGGACCCCGCCCCCGCACTGGGAATGTCAGCGACGCTGGTCAAGAGTTCGCTGTACGCTGCCCTGCTAAAGTGACGCGGCAAACACCGTTTGGCAGTTGTAAGGTCCCCAGGCCCTTCTGTGGCACTGCACCACTATTCCAGCTGGTCCTCACTTCAAATTTCCTTTCAGACAGAATACTCAGAACCCAGGGGAAAGGAAATATACCCTCTCAGTCCGACTCTGGTTTCTTTTTCCCATGCATCGACCTAATTCCACGATCACATTGATTCCTGTCTCCTTACTTCGAATAAGCAGTGCCTCAAGTATTACAAAGGGAAAATATGTTCTGTATTGGTGAAATGTATCTGAATTCAACTTTGCGAAAGTTGTAATCAGGACACATTTGTATAAAACATTAAAATTAGTTCAAAAACCTTTAAGTAGTAATCTTCCCAGTTTCACTTACAAACTGCCGTCCTGTTCATCCAGCAATCTAAAATTTACAAGTCAATCATTTGAAAAAATCCCCTATCTTCCTTCCCCACCCGCCAATGCATCAAATTTTATCCATGATTCTTTTTTTTTTTTTGAGGAAGATTAGCCCTGAGCTAACTGCTGCCAATCCTCCTCTTTTTGCTGAGGAAGACTGGCCCTGAGCTAACATCCATGCCCATCTTCCTCTACTTTATATGTGGGATGCCTACCACAGCATGGCTTGCTAAGCGGTGCCATGTCCGCACCTGGGATCCGAACTGGTGAACCCTGGGCCACCGAGGCGGAACGTGCGCACCTAACAGCTGTGCCACCAGGCCGGCCCCTAGCCATGATTTTGAAGAAGCAGTTTAGTAGAAAGGAAAACAGGGGGAAAGAAAGACAATATAATATTTAGGTTTAAATGGAAAAGCGTCTAGAAGCTTCCCAATTTTTCATCCTGGAAGAGTTTGGAAATAAGAGTAATAGAAAAAAGCTATCATTCTGTAGTAATTAACAAAACAAAAACAAAAAACATGTAATTTGGCATCTTTATTCTTGCTCCTTTTAAAAAAAACTTGAAAGCAGTTTATGGCACTCTACAAATAAATTATTTTAAGACTCCAACATAGACAGGCACACCGTCTCGTTCAGTAACCGAGAAGTCAACATTAGGAAAAACCTAAACTTAAAATTCAATCGGTTTTGTTACAACGTGACAGCAGAAACTTTTTAAAAAAGGTTTCTTTCTTAGAATTTAATAAAATATGGCACTTTTAACTTCAGAATTTTTTGTTTCTGTTATCTCATAATGCACTATTCTTCAACAGTTCAGAAATAGTACTGGAAAATTATTTGAGCATTTTTTCTTACAGTGTGGTGAGTCATTAGAGCTGATCCTTTCATAACTTTGACTAATCCTCTTTGTTATAAATACTTGCATTTTCAAGAGGCTGACTATGGTTAGAAGAACAATAAAGAATAAACTTTCTTAAAAGGAATTATCTATCTTCCCGTTAGTTTCTTACAGAAAAGGCTCTTGGACTAACAACGCTCTTGGACTAATGACAATGCCAACATAGAGAATTTATGTCTATGAAATCATGAAATGTACTTTCAGATTATTCTTTATTAAAAACATACTGTTCGGTACATAGGAGTTTGCATGGTAGGTGGTATATGTTCTAATAAAATCTGTTAGATGTAACTCTTACATCTTATTAAACTCTATCAGAACATTTTGCCTCATCCTCCTTGCAAAAATCTTTTTTGTAAGCCTTTTTTGAGGCTTATACCATTTGAACTGAACATAGCTTGTTGTTATCACACATTCTCTTTTTTTACATTAAGATTTCTGTCCTTTGCTCATAGTCCTGTTATACACGGACTAATTCCTGTCACATTCTTGGTGACTCCAAGATCTTTGTAGATGTACTCTTCCAATATCCTGGCTCACTCACAGGGAATCAAGGAAAATTCAATTCTTCTGTTTCTGCTGGTATTTTCTTCATCATTTCTAGATAACATGTCCAAATTGCTACTGGCTGATAAAATTCTAGCTTGGAAATAATCTAGTCTCAGAATTTTAAGGGCATTACTCCACTGTTCTAATAGCTTCTGGTGTGGCTGTTGAAAAGTCAAATATCACACCAGTTTCCAGTCTTTTTATGACCTGTTTTGTAGCTGCTTCTCTTTATCCTTTAAAAAAGGCATGGGCCTTTTTTACATTCATTGTGCTGGGCCCTTTCAATGTCCTTCCACTGCCTCCCACCCTCCCTCCCTCCTGAAAGCCCTTTTCATTAGACACCAGACCTCTTACATTCATCTCTTGGTTATCAGTATTTTCTTTTCAATACTGCATTTCTTTTCCTTTTCTACTGTCTGGTAGATTTCTTTGGCATCACTTTCCAACACTTTTATTACAGTTACAAGTCTTCCTACCACAGTTTTAATTTCCAAGATCGTTGTCTTGTTCTCTGAATGTTCTTTTTAGTAGCACCCTATTCTAGCTTCTTGGATGTCATATCTCATTTCTCTAAGGATTTTTTAAAATGTTTTCTTCTTGTTTCTCTTTTAACATTTTAAATATTTTTATCTGTTTCTTCTCAGGACCTTTTTTCTTCTTAAATCTTTAGGTCTCTGTTTTGTATTTTAGAGGCTTTCCACAAATGTCTGATGATCCCTGGCTGTCAGCACTAACAGGCTGATCAGAAGCTCTGTCTGCTTGGGCCAGGGTGGGGAGGAGGGCGCAGAGGGAGGCAATGCTCATCAACTGTTTGGCTTTACTACAAGGTGATGAAGCAATGAGTTGGATTTTTTATTAGGGAATCCCCAAAAGTCAGTATCTGCAAGCCTTGTCTCCTGGCTGCTTATCCTAGAAAGAAATGCTCCAGTCTCCCATCCCTGACTGCCATGTTCTGAGAAGAGGGCAATGGGAATGGTGGGGTTTTAACCTCAATATTCAGACAGTCTGTTTTTCAAAAGGTATCCTTATTTTCAAAAGATAACCCAACTTCAGCAACGACTGAGCCTCTTATATTAAACTTCTCCAAGCAATAACCTCTAGTTCTATCCGAGGTAAGGGAACAATAGTCTCCTGGCTGCTCAGGGTGACGGGGGACATGTGGGAGACGGACACAGACTTTCAATCATTTCTGTTTTCAACTCCCTACCTCACCTTTACCTTCTGAGTAACGGGTTCCTCTAATTTCTGAGCCAGCAGTATAAATTGGTTTGCTTCTTTTTGATGTCCTCATTTGCAGGCACTTAGTTCAGTTTTCTCAGTTCTGTTAATTTCCAGCTACCTGCTTTTGCCAAAAACTTGTTGATCAATCAGGCCTACTTCTGTCTCCTCTCATTTGCTTTCTACCTGTGAGTTTATGCCTTATACCCCTTTTATTTCTTTAATTTAATTTTAGTGGGATTCCAGGAGTGAGTAGACATAAAATGCCAATGTTCAATCTGACATTTTTTTTTCTGTTTTTTCTCCCCAAATCTCCCCAGTACGTAGTTGTATATTTTAGTTGTGGGTCCTTCCAGTTGTGGCATGTGGGACGCCCCCTCAAGGTGGCCTGACGAGCAGTGCCATGTCTGCGCCCAGGATCCGAACCACCAAAACCCTGGGCCGCTGAAGCAGAGTGCGCGAACTTAACCACTTGGCCATGGGGCCGGCCCCTAAAGATATTTCTTTGACAGGCAAATTATACCTGAAAAATATCAGTCTGTTTTAGAAAGCGGGCAAACTTAAGACCACTTATCTCCTTATACAGTTCTCTGTAAGTTGTATAAACATGTGGGACATGCAGAAAACATGTGCACTTGCCAGGTTACAGAAGGCAATTTCTAACACTGAATCTCTGGTTCAGTTTCACAGAGCATGAACTTTAGTGATTTCTCTATTCTTAATCTGGAGACTGTTGCTATATTGCATCATGACACAATATACTAATTTAAAGAAAGACTATTATGCTTCCACACCCCTTGGGGATAGAAAGTGGATTTTTCTTGATGTGGGGAATGTTATGTGGGCGGCTGTAATACTGGGAAGAAAAAAATACTGATAGTGATTCAGAGTCCATGCAAGCATCAGGAAGGCATTTCAACCATCTTAATATTCACAATGTCAGTTTTGAGGTTCTTTTGTTTGTTGTTAAATTTTTGGAAATGTGTTTAGCTGAAATCCTTTGAGACCTAAATTATAACTCTACTAGTTTATGGTTTTATATAAAGTTACACAAGGGCTAAAAATGTGTGAAATTTCAATTGTATTGATTATAGATTGATAGTTCATCATCCATTACAACCTTTCACATTTATACACCTGCACAGCTATCCTTAAAACTTTCCAAAATAATTCCTAAAAAGTCATTCCTTCTCTCAAGGACAACCATAATTTAAAACTGATTTTATAATGCCATTCTAAGTTAAATAGCTTTTGTTGAAAAGTGTTATTTAACAGGATAAGCTATAAATCAGAATTATGGAAAACAGAGGTCAAATTCCATTACTACAAAAATTTACATATATAAAAAAAATTAAAGACTATGGTCAATGGGCCTCTTAATGCTAAGTAGTGTCTATTACAAAATTTCCACAAGACAAAATAATTTAGTTCCCACGAGTTCAATGGAATTTAATCCATACTTTATTAAAATAAATTAAATTCAACATGTTTTAAGACTACATGGCATGCTAGAATGGGTTAAGAGGAAGAATATGACCCACCTCAAATCCCTCTCCTACTGTGCAGTCTCCCTAGACTACTCAGTCATGATAATACCTTGCCACTTGAAAGCCCTTCAGTGATAGCAACAAAAATTGGGACACATGGACTGATTAAAGTATTTCTGCACTCAATTCAAATACAAGAGGCAGTTTAGGAGATTCAAGTTTTTTGGGTTTTTTCCCCTATTTTTTATTGAGATTACGATAGTTTACAATCTTGTGAAATTTCAGTTGTACGTTATTATTTGTCAGTCATACTACA